GGCAGCTGCAGCCAGCAGTCAGGCCTTGCTGTGGGGAGCAGCCAAAACGGCAGAGGGGAAAGAAGAGAGGAACTGTCCCTCCCTGACCCCCTGCCTCCCCTCCCTGCCAGGCACGCCAAGTCTGTTTTCCAGCCCTCTTCACTGAGGTCCCCAGAGCCGTCACCCTTTTCTGTGCCCCTCCAGCCCCTCCACAGCGGATGAGATGAAGCAGCTCTTCCTCCCCTTCCTCTTTTGGCTCATCACCAGCTCCTCGCAGATCGAAGATAACAAGATCCCTGGGCTGTGCTCAGGGCAGCCGGGCATCCCAGGGACCCCGGGCCTGCACGGAGGCCAGGGTTTGCCAGGCAGAGATGGACGAGATGGCCGTGATGGAGCGATGGGGATGCCAGGGGAGAAGGGCGAGATGGGCCCTCCTGGTAAGAAAGGAGACATCCTGGCTGGCGAGGGGGACCTGCTCTGCCCTCTCTGTGGGGAATGCCTTCATGCCAGGTGGTGAGCCCTGGATGCTGACACAGCTCCACATTGCCAAACCGAGCACTAATCCTGCAAAAGTGCCCCTTTCATGCCACCACCAGCCCCTCTGGTCCTGCCTGTGGTGACCCAGTGCTCCCTGTCACTGGCAAAGCTGCACTTCTCCTCATCCCCACTGCCATCCCTCTCTTCCACACCCCGCTTTAGGAGGGCCCACCAAGCTGACCCATGAATACAGCTGCACCACCCTTGCCTTGGCTCCTGGGCTGGGTTTTCTCCCAGCCTGTGGGGGTTTCTCCAACTCTGTTGCTGCTGTGCCTGGTCAGCATGCTCACCTAGCACTCCCTGCTTGTGCTGCTTCCCCAGGCTGAGCACTGGCCGTGGCAGGTATTCACCGCCTGCATCCCGTGGGAGGCTTGTAACCCCAGTAGGACTGGGGCCGGTCAGGGGGGCTGGGGGAGCTCAGCTGGGGGGGGCCGTGCTGGTGGCAGTGCTTTAGAGGTGACCCTGTCCCCCTCCTGCTTGTCCCAGGAGTGCCCGGTCCCCGCGGGGAGGTGGGCAGCCCCGGCGTGGAC